AATGTGACAAACTTCATTGGACTGTCCTAACCTTCATTGTTTTTTCCTGCAGGGAATCCTGGGAAGGCTAGGACATAAAATGCAAGCGCCTCGGCGCTCGCGACAGGTACAAGCTCGCAGAAGCTCCCATCATGCTTCCGTCAAGAGCTTTCATGATGCTACCAAAAACAATGTAGTATCACGCTAGCTTGAACCTGTATATAATGTAAATAAACACTCCTGTTAACGGCACCGGCTCTCTCCTCGACATCTCACCGGAAATTTGGCTGGCTCCGATCTTAAGGGCAGACCCCCGACTACATCACCGCACACATTTTTCACACTCTTTCACCTGGCGTGATAGTTGTCCACTTAGGCTTGGTCACCTAACCAACTCCTTCACCAGCGCTCGGGTTTTCGAAATGCCTGGATGCCCATGGTGTAGTTTTTTTTTCATATTTCTTTTTGCAAGCTCAGAGGGATGATAAGCCTCGTCCAGTTTACGAGGAAGCCTACACACTTGGTTATTGTCCCCTTGTCTTGCCAGTATAGCGTTAGATGAGAAGGATGGTTTGGTTTTGCTGACCAACCCCTGCGGCGTAACTCGTGCAATAACTTAGACAAGATCGGCTTCTTGAGCAGTTTTCACACTTTCGATCAGGTTGCGGCTGGTTTTCAAACCTTGAATGCACGATATAGCGTGTGACGACACATCGCCCACTAAAATTTCTCCGCATAATGCCTAGTTCACACTGAAACATCCGCTTTCTACAGCGACCGAAATTCCCCTGCCGCCGGAACACAGCGTCGTTCGCACTGGACGTGCCCCACGCCGCCGAATGTGCCATCTACTATGGGGCGAACGCGGGATGGATGCGCTGTCAACCGGTTGTTGTCGTGGCTCGCAAACGCTACTACGCTATCCAGTGGTGTATACTTCGATGATTCTCGTACGCAAGAAGCAACAAAAGACAGTACTGCTTACTTTGCTGGCAAGTGGCTGCCTTGTAATGCACGAAGAGCAGAAAAATCACTGACGCCAGTGGCGTTGGTGGGTTCGTTTTGCTTTGCAAGACCACAACAAGCTCGGTCACTCCAACAGCAAGCTCGGTCACCTCTTTCACGAAATACGGAGGCGAAGTAGGCGCAGAGTAGGTTAAACTCCCGTTGGTTTCAACATTCAGTTACGTGCACTGCAGCATAACAAGTGCGTAGGGCTTGGCCGCCATTTGTCAAAATTCCTTGACTAGCGCTCCTGTTGATCCGCGGTGACCGATTCGGAGGCAGACGCCGCAAAAATCGGTCCGAGAGCGATTGGGGTGGAGAGGGCCCTTTCGGCGGATCTCGCCGCCACCGAACCGGATTCGGAGCACTTTCGGCGGCCGGAATGCTCAGTGTGAACGCGGCCTAAGTGCTTGTATTTCACGAGTGGTGCACGCGAAAGAGCATCCACTGTGACAAGGTATTTTGCGAGAACATGCACGACTTGAAACTCATAACGCATTAGCGGTAGCCTAAAGCGTTGTATCCGCGGGGAAAAATTATCAACGCCGAACCAATGTCTCACATTTTAACTGAAATTTTTCGTTTGTCCTTAGCGTCTGCCATTTCGCCTTATGACTGGCTAGTTGCTCGGATATTGGCCACACACAAGAAGGGCGATCAATTACGGATAGAAAACTACCGCCCGATCTCTTTGACGTCTACATGCTGTAAATTGATGGAGCACATTGTTGCTCACTACATAACAGACTTTCTTGAACGTAACGGCTTACTTTCCGAATTTCAGCACGGTTTCCGTAAAGGGCTATCGACGCACACACAGCTGATAGCTACGGTGCACGAAATTGCCTCTGCCCTTGATTCGGCCAGCCAGATTGACTTAGTATTCCTCGACTTCAGCAAAGCATTCGATCGTGTTCCTCATGGTAAGCTTATAGGCAAACTGCTAAACATTGGTATACCCGATTTTCTTGTTAACTGGATTAAATCTTACCTTTCCAACAGGACTCAATATGTGGAGATCTCTGGGTGCTCGTCAGGCGCATTACCTGTCTTATCGGGTGTTCCACAGGGAAGCGTCTTGGGCCCAATTCTCTTTTTAATTTATGTAAATGATATAACTTCAATTGTTGATTGATTTGTGGGGTTTAACGTCCTAAAATCACCATATGATTATGAGAGACGCCGTAGTGGAGGACTCCGGAAATTTTGACCACCTGGGGTTCTTTAACATTTACCCAAATCTGAGAACACGGGCCTACAACATTTCCGCCTCCATCGGAAATGCAGCCGCCGCAGCCGGGATTTGAACCCGCGACGTGCGGGTCAGCAGCCGAGTACCTTAGCCACTAGACCACCGCGGCGGGGCTAACTTCAATTGTCTCGTCTGATGTTCAAATACGATTATTTGCAGATGATTGCATAATTTTTAGAAAAATTACATGTACTGAGGATCAAATATTCTTAAATGACAGTTTGACACGTGTTGGCCAATGGTGCACGTCGTGGTCCATGAAGTTAAACTCGGACAAGACTGTTCTACTGCGAATTACAAATAAAAGAGAGCCGCTTAACTTTTCTTACTGTATCGATGGAGTGACTGTTAAAGAAAACTCGGAATACAAATATCTAGGGGTGACAATTACCAATACGTTATCGTCGTCTAAGCACATTGAAAATACCTGCGCAGCTGCCATGCGCAGGCTTGGGTTCATAAGGCACAAACTTAAAGCTGCCCCTACAGAAGCAAAACTGTTGGCTCATAAGACCTTAGTGTTACCTAAGCTTGAATACGCCAACATTGTTTGGGACCCCTTTTCTAAGAAAGACAAGCAAAAGCTAGAAATGGTGCAGTGCCGACCAGTGCGTTTTATTTTCAACGAGTACAGATCCACTGATTCCCCATCTTCATTGATGGTGCAAAATGGAATTTCAACTTTAGAGCAGCGACGTAAACTAGCCCGCCTAGAATTTTTGATTTCGCTTTTTCATGGCCACTTGAAGCTTAACGCAAACCCTTATGTCAAGCTGTTCTTACCTCGAGCATCGAGACATCGCCACTCACACAATCTTCTTCCTTACAAAGCCCGCACAAATCTATTCAAATACTCTTTCTTCCCGCGGACAATTGCGGATTGGAATGCATTACCGAGTTCGGTTTTCTCAGCGCAAACTGCGGCTGCTTTTTCAGCGAAGGTGCTTGCTGCCCTAGAATAATTATCATCTTTGTTTCAGAGGTTTGCTGACCGATTGCTGGTGCTTTTCTAGTTTTTGTGTAGCTCTCGAACGGTTGAGGATGTTTTAGTCGTGGGTTTTCATTGTTTGTTGAGAAAAGTGCGTATTTGTCTGATTTTTTTTTTGAAGTTGAAAAATTTAGGGTGGTCCCTGAATGTACGAGCTCTACTGTATAATGGTTTTGTTTTGCTTGACCTAGAGAGAGTGTGATCGTTGCAACTTTCTAGTTTACAATGAGTTTTGCACTGTGCAACGTTTTTTTTACCTGAAAATAAGTGTATAAATGTATTTATGTGTGTATTTGTTTATATATCTATACTGTTCGTGTGTATGACCAAAGTATGGTTATTGATATGTATTCAACGCTACCATGCGATACATGAAACTTTCCCATCTGCCCTCCTGCTTGGTCCTTATAGGACTGCAGTATGTAATAAAAAAAATTACAAAAAATGAAAATCAAGAGACATCTTTCCTAGCAACGACACCAAAGGTTTGTGATCCGTTTCAAAAACAGCCCGGAGTCCTCTGATGTACTCAACGAATTTTTCAACAGCCCACGTCAATGCCAGTGCTTCCTTTTCCAGTTGAGCATAGCGCTGCTCTGCTTTCGTGAGTGCCCGAGATGCAAACACCATGGGTCATCGTTCCCCATTACGCTGCGACTGGAAAAGGACAGCCCTGACTCTGTAAGGTGAGGCGTCTGCTGAAAGAATCGTTGAAAATCTAGGGTCGTACAATTCCATACACTTAGCTGAGCAAATTAGGTCCTTCATGTTTTTGAAGGCCGTGTTCTGTGCCGGGCCTCAAACCCATTCGGTTTCTTTCACCAACAGCGCTCCTAGAGGGGCTGTTACGCGTGCTAAGTTAGGCAAGAATCTTCCGAGATGGTTGGTCATGCCCAAAACATTGCGTAATGTGTTACTTTACAGGGAGGCTCTAGTTTCTTTACAGCCTAAATTTTCGCTTTACTCTGTGTACGCTTCGGAGATGACCTAAGAAGGAGATTTCATTCACCGCAAAGACACACTTTGTTTTGTGTAGGGTGACGTTATTTGAAACCAACCTAGCAAGAACATGTGTGAGCCTTGCGTCGTGCTGCTCCTTAGTGTCACCAAAAACAAGGATGTCGTCCATGAGGTTTACTACGCCGGGGAGACCCTGCATTATTTCAGTAATGCTCTTTTGAAAGTATTCCGGCGCTGAAGTTTTTCCAAAAGGCAGCCTCGTGAAACAATACCGCCCAAACGGTGTTATAATTGGGTAATTCCTCCAAGTTCTTTGCTAGGTGAACCTGATGAAAGCCTGAATTTGCGTCTAGTTTTCAAAGCCACTTAGCCCCCACCAGTGAACCTAACGCTTGATCAACAGTCGGTAGCGCAAACCTTTCTCTCAAAATAGACTTGTTCAGCTGCGTCAAGTCGACGCACACCCTGACTTCTCCGGAGGTTTTTACGATAGGCACAATACCAGCGCACCATTCTGTGGGGCCTTCGACTATGTGAAAGACACACATGTGCGGCATTTTCTCAATCTCTGTTTTGATTTGTGCTCTTAGTGGAACCGGCATTCTGCGTGGCACGCATATAGCACAAGGGACGGCTTCTGGCTTAAGCCTTATACAATACTCAGCTGGGATGATGCCAAGACCACTGAAAGCTCGTGCAAGGAAGGCCTCATAGTAAGTCTGTTTCCTCCCAGGCTCCACAACTTAACTCCGTCTCATGCTTCGAGAGCAGGCAAGCCAAGCTGAACGTTGCGCAAAGCACTAACAACATAAAATACCTGGCGAGAAGTTTTTACTTTCCATTAAACCTCTGCCTCGAATTTGCCCAATACATCAAAATGGCCCCACTGGCTCCCGCGAGCACCTCGTCTGTCTTACTTAGTTTGGTGGGTAAACCTGGAAGAGACTTTGGTACTACCGAAACTTTGGCACCCATATCCACCTTGGAAAAAACTGGCACATCATCAACTCTTACTAGGAAAAATCACGACCCCGTGCTAGATGCTATAATTATTCCCAAGAAAACATCTGTAGAGTCCATGTGTACTGAGGAGACTCGTACCGGCCGTCGTTGTGAGGTATTCTTGAGACACACCTTGCTGAAATATTCTTTGACGCCGCAGTTATGGCGTTTTTGTGTCTTTACTAGGCAGGCAGTCCTCACAAGCCCCCCCCCCCCCCCCGAAGCTGCAGCGTGAACCTCATTATCCGGAGACTATCTTCGGCTGGCTCCTCTGATGCCCAATGGCGTTAACGCCCACCTCTTCGCACTCCTGGAATGACGTAGAGTTGCCGGTGCCCTCCGCGCCACGAAGCTCTTGTTTCTCCTGCACCATTTCCTTCAGTCACGCTTTCGCTAAAGCCGTTGCCAAAGTCAGTTTGCCCTTCATTTGAAAAGACTCTGAAAGCTTCTCGTCTCAAAGACCGACAACTAACCGGTCCCTCACGAGGCGTTTCTTGCAGTCGCCAAGTCACACCGGTCCGCCAGAACATGTAGTGCACACTGTAAAAAATGGTTGTAAATTAACAGGTATTATACGGAAAGTTTCTGTACCGAAAAAGAAACTCTCTGTAAGAGCACCATGAAGAAAATCGGTTGAACACAGAAACCAAAACTTTCTGTTATTCACATCCTTCAGCAAATCAAAGCACTCAAAATTGAATTTCGATTGTCTTAAATGTTTCAAGATTAGAATAAGCAATAAAATAACATTTCATGTTTTCGTGGTTTCACGCACAATGCTATTTCGCGTGAATAATGTCCAAGGAAATTTCTGCGGTTCTACGTTCGCACCTCAGGAGGCTTCGTGCGTTTCAAGATGGCTACGGCTCATGCCAAAGTGCGACTACGCGTGGCTGCCCTGTGAAGTGCTTTGGATTCACTATAGCGCGGCTGCGCTACCCTACTGCTCGTGATTTTGTGTTCCCGCGATTGAAAAGTAGGTGGTTTGTTTTCACCTAAAGTTTCAAACTGTAGGGTTTTGTTTATGTATCGGCCCACATTCAAAATTTGCTCTCTCGTGGTTTCTAATTCACCTGGTAATCAGCCGTGCACATGACCACATGTATTTGTGAGAGCCGTAGTTTTTTCGGCAATTGGGTTGAAACACTGATGAGGCCTTGTTCGCGGGGGTGCTTGATGGAATGCCTGCTGTTGTATTACAGTGATAACTTTTTTGGCAGCGGCCACATACGTCGAAGTATGCCAATCTGTACTTCGACGGCTGCTTTGCGCATCCTAGAAAGTTAGTCGTGCGTTTAGTGCACCTTTCCTGAGGGAAACACTTAACAAGGCTTTGCTGTACAGGAATATGCGATGTATTTGTTTGCCTTATTTCGCCTTGTTCTTTGTTGACATCGTATCAGTGTATTTTGTGCTTATGAACCTTTTTGTTTATTTTTTACTTGGTCTGTTTGAAGCAAGTATAAGTGTCAGATATGCTAACCGAGCCATATCACCCACAAAGCATAGTATTATTTCTAATAGAAAGTGTGAGTGTGTTCTGTTTTTAGTTGGTGTGTCTAGATGTGATAGGCAAATTTTACCTGAACTGTGATGATATAAAGGCGAATGTAGATTCGTTAGGCTCTCACCCTTGTTTTCTTTGCCCGTGCTCGATGGTAGTAGGGAGTGGACATCCACCATCGAATAAAGGTATCGATACAAAATTCATATTACCCATAACAAGTCGCGAGATGTGTTCGTCGATGAATGGGAGTGTTTAGCTCTTCAGGTACAATTTATTAGGCGCGAGAGGTTTAGGTCATCTGAAAGGAAAAGATCGTAGTATATTTTGCCTAACAGCAGTAAAAAACAGCTGCTTTGCCGTCGTCTTATCGGTAATTTAGGCGACAAGAAGAGCATCTTGGTAGTCATAAATAACACCGGCTCCCGCACTGATTAGACAAATCGCTCATTTCGAATTGCTTTCTTCTCTCAATTAGCTACGATAGCGGGAGAGATGTACTTTATTTATTTGAAGGCGCTATTTCCTGCTGATAAACGCACTTGAAAAAAACACTGATTGCCTAAATGTTGTCACTAAAGAAAAAGATCTCCTGCAAGCGCATCATAACTTGAATGAAAGGAATCGTTCATTCCACCGAAACGTCGACCAAGGACCTTTTCGGGGCAGCTGGATGACAATGTTGAGGATTAGCTTAAGCGCTACCAAAGAGTGAGTCGCAGCAACCACTGGAGCACTGCTAAGCAGCTCGAGAACGTGGTGATTTTTCTCGTCGGCCCCACGTTTCTTTGGTTCGACAACCACGAGAGTGCATTGACCACATGGGACATTTTTGTGGACGAGCTAAAGAGGTGCCTTGGTGACTAGACTTCTAAAGTCAAGCAGGCGGAGCAAACGCTTTCACGCAGAGCTCAGTTACCTGGCAAAACATGCACCACCTACATCGAGGCCGTCTTGAAGCTTTGCGGAATCGTGAGTGCGACCATGTGTGACAAAGAGAAGGCAGGTCATCTGCTCAATGAAATCGCGGAAGACTTGTACAACTTTCTTATTACTAAGGAAGACCTACACACACCTTCCGACCTAAGGAAACACTGCCGAGCGTTTGAGGCGCTAAAGAGGAGGAGCATGCCACCAAAATTTGGACGTCTTGACAATGTGCCCACGATTGCAAGTGTCAACCTTTTATCGTAGGACGACATCTTTTCGATTATAAGACGTGTACTTAAGGAAGAACTTGCTCAACTGCAAATTGTGGACACCGCCGGTGTCTGCCATCAGTGTGCATTCGACCAATGGCCCCGTGAACCACCGGTACCTCGGATACGCCAGAGCTACTTTGAGCCTCGGCCGAATTACACCGTTGGGTTCGAACGAAGGTGTGAACGGCCACTCGAAAACTAGGAACGCAGGCCAGCTGCATCACGGCGATTTACTCCTCAGCCGCCATCGCCCGCCTTTTATCAACCAACGAGGTCTACTTCGCTGGGGACGACTAGACGTGGCACCCGTACTTGCTACAGCTGCGGGCTACCTGGACACATCGCTAGGTACTGCTACCGTCGCCAGCAGCGAGCTCCACGATTCAACGTGTACACGCCTTATGTGCTTGCTGGCGATTCTCTACTATATCAGAGCTCTTTCCAACGGCAACATGCAGCACGTGCTGACTCGCCTTGCTCCAACCACAGCGTTACCCCACCGCCCGCACACCAACAGCGATCCCCGTCCCCGCGTCACCGCTTGGGGACGCCACCACCACTGGGAAACTAACTGGTGCGACCGACGGGGGAGAGGCCGCAAAATCATCTTCCGCAAGACCCCCTTGTGTGGTAATGGTTGAGAACAAAGTGACTGTTTTTTTAGACAATGTGAGTACTGTTGCATTAGTTGATACCGGTGCTGCCGTTTCCGTAATGAGCATGTCTTTTAAAAATCGCCTTGGGACGAAGTAATATTTGCTTGGTATTGGAGTGCTACGTTTCGCGGCGTAGGGGCAGAAACGTTGAGCTGGGTTGGCGTTTGTTCTGTTTTACTTTCTGCAGGAAATCAAACGTTTAGAGCTGAACTAACAGTGCTTGCACGTGCGACCCACGACGTCATTCTAGGTATAAACTTTTTGCGTGAGTGTGGTGCCACTCTGGATTGTGGTAGTGGTGGGATTATTTTTAGTCCCGTGTTGCCCTCTCCATTGACGAAATATACCATTGACGACAACTTGGACGTGTTTCCCGTGTCTGAAGACGTCTGCTTGGCCCCGCATACCGCAATGTTTGTGCGCGTAAACTCTTCAAGTTCTTGTGAGGGTTCTTACTACGGTTTAGCAGAGCCGAACTTCAGTAACACACTTAAGAAAAACGCTATTGTGCCTCGTTGCCTCATGCTCACCGTCGATGGTTGTGCCGATTTGTGGACTGTGAACGTTTCCGCGCTGCTCAAATCTCTGCCTGCAGGACTTAAATTGACAAGCTTTTAAGAGCAAAGTACTCTTACCATACGGTCACTTCAACTGTCGGTGGATATAAGGAAACCCCACACCAATTCGTACCCCGACTATTCTGCCAGCATTGACCGTATGATCAAGAAGTCACTTCCTTCAACTGAATGGTCGTTGCTGCAGGAAATGATTGCAGGCTACGCCTCAGCCTTTGACTTTGCCCAAGACGATGCGTCTACCGTTACGCCACCGTCTTCACGTACGCAACACCGCATCTATACAGGCCAAGCACCACCAATACGCCAGAAGCCCTATCGCGTATCGCCTTCCGAAAGGAAAGTCATCGCTGAGAAAGTTGAAGACATGCTATAGAAGGGCGTCTTACAATAATCGTTTAGTCCGTGGGCAGTTCCTGTCATTCTAGTCAAGAAAAAGGATAATTCTTGGAGATTCTGGGTAGACAATTGTCGCCTAAACGCCATCACAAAAAAAGACGTCTACCCTTTGCGACGTATAGATGACGCCGTGGACTGCTTGCATTCTGCCTCCCATTTTTCTTCTGTTGACTTGCGTTTCTGGGTCTCGGCAAATTCCTATGCATCCCTCAGATAAAGAGATGATGGCCTTCGTAACACCAGGCGGTCTTTTTGAATTTAACGTTATGCTTTTGGTTTGTGCAGTGCTCCAGCGACATTCGAGAGATTTATGGATACAGTACTCCGTGGACTAAAATGGGAAATTTGCATGTGCTATTTAGATGACGTCATTATCTACGGAAAGACTTTTCAAGAGCATAACCACCGCTTTTCACTTGTGTTTGAATGCTTACGCGAAGCTGGCCTTGTTTTAAACTCAAAAAGTGCCATTTTGGAGAACGTCAAGCCCTCGTATTAGGGTTTCTCGTGGATAAAGAAGGCGTACGACCAGACCCACAGAAGACCGCAGTGGTTCGCAAGAACAACCACGAACAGTAGAGGACTTGCGAAGTTTTCGGGGTCTGTGCTCATATTTCCGCCGATTTATTAAGAACTTCACACTACCTGCCTTCCCACTGACTTGCGTTCTTCATAAAGATACAAAGTACTTGTGGGATGATAAATGTGAGGCCGCATTTCGACAGCTGAAGTTTTTATTGACTTCAGGGTTCATTCTGAATCATTTTGATCCTGACGCTTTGACTTAACTTTATACTAATGCAAGTGGGCTAGGTGTTGCTGTTGTGCTGGTCCAACTCTGCAACAGCCGTCAACATGTCGTAGCATATGCCAGTCGGACACTGATCAGAGCAGAGAAGAACTACACCGTCACCGGGCTCGAGTGCTTAGCAGTCGTCTTCGCCATTCAAAAGTTCCGACCGTATCTACATGGCTGCGAATTCACAATAGTGACCGATCAACACTCACTATGCTGGCTTGTGTGACTTCGCGACCCGTCTGGCCGGCTGGCTCGTTGGGCGTTGCGTCTCCAAGAGTACAGCTTTTCTGTGACGTATAGGAGCGGACGATTTCACACGGATGCCGACTGCTTATCCCGCCTTCCTTCAGCTCACACCAATGCTGACGACGACGACATTGATGACTATTTAGTTTCTGTCTCGTC